CCTCACATACAGAAAAGGGTGACAGCATGCCAGAGAAGCCTTGGGCACCTGCTCTGTGTCCACCCCCAGCCCCAGTCCTTGACCATCCCCCTTCCAGAAAGCAGCTTGAAGCCTCCTAGCTGGGCTAGACTGCTCGGGTCTTCTCTGGGCCTCCCGTCTGCTCCCAGCCCCCCTGCCCATCCCTCCCTCCCTGCTCAGCAAGATCAGGGAAGCTTCGAGCCCAACCCTTACATCAAAAGGGAATTTGAAAAATACTTGGAGCAAAAACTGCTAACTGTGCATCCTTGCTCTTTGCTGGTGCTGATATTAAATCAGGAAATGGCACTGAACAGCCGCTCCAAACACAAAACAGGGGTTGTCAACACAGAAACCAAAAGCAATCGCTAACGGGCAGAGGTGAAAGGGGCCTGGCAAGAGGCCGGATGGGGCTGGGACCCAGGAAAGGGCTCTTCAGCTGGGTTTCTCTGGCCGGACTGCTCGTGTCCAGAATGGAGTCCCCTGCACTATGCACGCCTAGCCTCACTGAGACATGCAAGAGGGCCCAGCAGGCTACAGAAACACCTTCCAGGTTCTCCTGTTCATGTCCACAGATACCCACTGAGCACCTGTTAGGTACCTGCTGCGGAGGTGCCCACAGTTTGATTCTGACTCACAGCAGCCCCACGTGACTCAGTGGAACTGCCACTGAGGGTGTCCTGGGCTGTGGCCTTCTTAGGAGCACATTTCCAAGTCTTCCCCGCTCCCCCCCCACCTCCCCACTGAGTCTCTGGGTGACCTTGAACATTGCTAGGCTTTGGATGAATAGCCAGTGTTTAACCCTTGCCCCACTGGGCCCAATTGCACTGCCATTGAGTCAATTCCAACTCAGAATGATGAGGATGAGCAGGGCCTGAGAGGGAATAAGATGCCCATCCCACGGGAGATTTTCTTCCAGCCCCCAGGGGTCAGCTTTGAAGGCCTTCCAAGTGCTGGTGCCTGTCGAAGCCTCCAGCCGTGTCTGCAGCCGCTAGGACAGGGGTCCTCAAACTTTTTAAACAGGGGGCCAGCTCACTGTCCCTCAGACCCATTGGAGGGCCAGGCTATAGTTTTTTTTTTAAAAAGCTATGAACAAATTCCTATGCATACTGCACATATCTTACTTTAAAGTAAAAAAAAACAAACGGGGCAAAAACACCCGGCGGGCCGGACAAATGTCCTTGTTGGGCTGCAAGTGGCCCGTGGGCGATAGTTTGAGGATGCCTGCCTAGGAGATAGCTCCTCCATGCCTAAGGACAGAGTCAGGCTTTGGGGCCTTTGCTGGGGGAGGGGGGCGGGGGGGATTCTGCCCCGACTTTAATGTTTTATTCAAGCGCCACCTCCTCTGTGTAGTCATCTTTGCCAGCTCTCACCCTGCTCCTAACAGACTGAGGGACGTCTGTGCTTGGGCCTCACCAGCACTGTGGACACAAGGGCACCACAACATCTGCCCATCTGCAGTGGGCCCTGTCAGACTCCCCTGAGACTAGTCACTCCGGACCCTTTATCCCCAGCACTGCTCTTAAAGTGGACAGAAACAGAGGATTATCGACACCCTCCCACCCACCCCCACTCCCCCCACGTTTGGGTGTGGGTGTGGGTGTGGCGTTGAGGAAACAGGAAACTTCTGTAAGCACCAATGGCACGCAAAAGTTACAATCCTGCTAGAAGCTAAATTGACCGCAAGAGCATTGGTGGAACCATGGCTAAAGCACTCAACTGCTAACCCAAAGGTGGAACATTCAAACCCAGCAGCCGGTCCACCGGGGACAGACAGGGGAAATTGGAGTCGCTTTCTCTTTTTAAATTTTTATTTATTTATTTTCTTTTTGGGGGAGTCTCTTTCAGTCCAGCAATCTCATGTCTTGGTCTCTAGGCTAGAGAAAAAGCCTGCCTGTGTGCAAAATGGAACAGGTAGAAAACTGTTGGTCACGGCATCGTTTGCAAAAGTGACGGATTGGGGTTGGCTTAAATGCCCTTCAATATGGGGGCTGGATAAAAAACGACTCCGGTGCATCCTCTGGAGGGGATGTGGCACGTTCCTTAGAGGGGAGGAACTGCATCTTCACGTGATGACACAAAAGGAGCTCCAGGAAACAAAAAAAGCAAGTAGTAGCTCTAGACATAGATGTTAAAAAAACGACACTGCTGCATTTTTTACGATGAGAAAGTAGTCTGGCAAAACACTTTTTTTTTTTTAGTAGAAAGGGGAAATGAGAGACTAGGGACCATACAGCTCCTGGCTGAATTGAGACTGGCTTCTAGAATATTCTTTTGACAGGACCAGGTGGAGAGCCCCAGTGACAGCACTGGATGAGTATCTGGCTGTGAGCAAGGAGCAGGCTCCATCCACTTCTGCAATGAGCAGGTGAGCGAGATGCTGCAACCCTGGGCTCCAGACGAGCATCTGGTCAAAGGAGGAGGTCGGTGGACCAATGGCACTCCATGCAGTAGGTCCTTGGCCAGAGGAGCACAGAGCAAGAAACGGCTCAGGCTCGACTGTTCCCTAAGCGAGGCGAGGTGGGTGGGAGTGGGTGCACAGAAGAAGAGCAGGGAACCTTGGGATTTCTGAGACACTGAACGGCAATGAAGCATCAGCGTTTGCCCAGTTGTTAACTTCGTTCATTCATTCATTCATTCATTCCACATCTGGCACTGAGCTCCTCCTGGTGTAGGTGCTGCTTGGACACTGGAGACACAGAGATGACTCCCATAAAAGCTCTTCCTCCAGGAACCCACACGGACAAAGTAAATTTCTTGGATACCGTGCTTGGGCATAATCTCGGGGACGTATCGCATGCCAGTGGCTGGACTCTTCAGAGCTATGGAATCAGACTGGACCTCGGGGATCTGCCTTTACGCTGTGGGTTCTCAAGATGAACAGGATTTGGACTAGTTGATCAAAGCATTAATTGCAGCTTCACTGTGGTCCAACCAAAAAACCCAAACCAAACTCGCTGCCATCGACTTGATGCTGAATCAGAGCAACCTGATTATAGAATGGGGTAGAACTGCCTCTCTGCATTTCCAAGAGCTTGTAACTAGTAGAAAGGCCTATTTTTCTCCCAAGGAGGGTCTAATGGTTTTAAACTGCTGACCCTGTGGATCCCAGCTCAAAGTGTTTAAGAAAGCACTACATCCCCAGGACTCCTTGCTACTTCTGAAGGGCTCCTTCAAACCTGCAGTTTGGAGAAGGAAGTTTGGAGAGTTCAGCCAGTTTGGAGAAGGAAGGAATGGAGGTATGGGCCCCGGTGCATGTCCCACCCAGAGTGAATTTCCGGAGGGACCAGGACCTTGCCTCGCCAGTGGGCTCTTCTACCCATCTCCATGTCTATTGACATCTCAAGTCCCTCTGACGTCTGGGAGGATCCGTTTTCTCTACCCAGATCCTTCAGAAACAGATCCACTCATTCTAGGCAAGTGGAATGGCACATGCAAAGGTCCTGTTGCAGACTACAGCTTGGGCTGCAGGGGCACTAAAAGAAGCCGTAGGGGCCAGGCAGGAGAAGGGAGTCCTCTTGGCCATCCCTCAGTGAACTGTGCTTTTAAGTAGTCAGGAGTTTCCCATCAGCAAGGAGCCACCTCCATCCCCTCACCCCTCCCTCTCTCTGGGGCCTGATAACTGAGAGATGAATGAGTGAATGATGATAGAGGTAGAACCCGAGCTAGGGCCCAGATCAGAGGTCAGACTGAGGATGTGGCTGAGAAGGGTTATGCAAAGGTTTTCTCCTTCAACTTACATCCTTCTACCCCGAGAAATCTCCCCCCCCCCACCTCCCACCCCAACCTCCACCTGAGTGCAGCCTTTTCCTGGGGAAAAGGCAAAGGATGGAGAAGGAAACCGCAGTCATTTGTCTCTCATTGACAAGAAGGCACATTAAACAATGTCTTCCTCACTGAGCCCTTGGCATGGGAGAAAATGGGCCGAGAGCCACACAGGGCCTGAGAGGCCCTGATGCAGAGTTGGAAATCCTGACCCAGAGACATCTGGGGAGAGCCGCACTGACTGGGATGCTGCCCCAGAGATGGGATCAACACTGGACTTGGAGCCAGATGTTCTAGCCCAGCACTGTTATGCAACTTTAAAGACATCACTGGACTGCTCAGCATCTCATTATCCCTTGTGCAGAATAGGTATGACCCTGCCCACCTCAGAGGGCATTTGTGAGGACTGAAATGATTGAAAACCATAAAATTCTTAGCCCATTGCCATCCGTTTCTACCCTCCCTCCCTAGGTACCCAGCTATCTCAGCAAAAATAATATTCTTCAGTGTTGTGAGGATTGCATGAGAAGGTGAACAGCGAAAGACGTAGACGTCCCAGTGCAAACAGAAGAGGATATTGTTCTCCGGCATCTCATCAATATTGCCCACTGGTTGTCTGGTCCAGTGATACCCAATAAAACTAGAATGGGAACTATGGATGTCACTTGGAATGTTCTAGTAGCTCCATTGAAGCAAAGTAAAAAAGAAAAGATGAAATGAAGTTGTAAATGTTTAATTGCCACTCCAGCTTGTGTGTGTGTTTGTGTGTGTACACACACGGTGCTAAGTATGGGAGCAGGGGAGGTAGCAGGCAGAAGGCTTGGCAGAGGCGGGCCCACTCTAGCCCCCCACAGGGACCTAGTGAGTCCTTGGCTGCTGGGGAAGGGCCTCTGAAGCAGACAAAGAACTTTAGGAAGAGCTGCTTGGAATCTGCTGGGTGTAGTAGGGCTGCAGTGGAAATGACAGCTGCCTGGGGGGAGAAGGATTCAGCCACCTCAGAGGGCGGGGGTGGGGTGGGGGGGACACGGGACCCAGAATCCTCTCACACTGGGCATTGGCAAAGGTGGCAGAGGTCTTCGGGGCTCCTTGAAGGAGTCAGGTGGCCCCACATCATCCAGGTGATGCAAACCCAGAAGGGGGACACCTGCCCCTCCCCACCCTACTCAGGCCTGTCCCTGTCAGGATTTTCTTGAAGACCCCATTGCACGATCCTGCAACGCATGGGGCTCCGAGGCCAGAAGTTCTGGCTCTACAATTCCGTGCATCCCATCCCGCTTGCTGCGATTCCCCACCCAGTACCCAGCAGCGAGAGCCTGGCACATGCTCGCCTCCTCCCGCAGGCTCCCACCAGCTACGCCCACCCGCGCACCAAATACCGGCAGCCCTCGGGAAAGCTACCTGGATGCAGCCGACCCTCTGGAGGACCAAGGCTGACGCGAACGCGGCGGCGCGGCGCTGGGCTGAGGCGCTCCGCGAGGCTCTGTGCCACCAGACCCTGAGTTGGGGTGTGCCACCAGACCCTGAGTTGGGGACCCGGCGCGCTGGGAAGGGCCGAGCTAGGGCAGCGCTGTGAACGGATTTCATTCTCAGAGTCTGGCCAGGTGCTTCCCCAAGGAGCCCCTGAATGTCCCGGGGCTCCCAGGAGGCAGGGAGCGGCAGAGCGACTGGGGAATCCATCTCCTTCACTCACCGTCTGAAACTAAACCATAAGGGGTGCGCCCAGGGCGAATCGCTGCTGGGCTGACCCTAGGGGACGTGAGGAGTCGGTACTGCTTTTGAAAATGGAAACGTGAGGTCGGTTTTGCAGAGGCTAAAATCGACAAACTTTGTTCAGCGAAGGCACTCTGGTCAGCGCCCATCTCCCTCGACTTCCCCTTAACCAGCCTCCTTTAAGCGGGCCTCCTTCCCCTTAACTCCCCCCCCCCCAACTTCTAGATTCTCTACCCACTGTCCTGTCTTTCTCTTCTTTCGCTCTCCAGGATTCCACCAGTCTTGTAGAGATGCGGTGCCGCCGCCTTTGTGGTCTTAGATCCCCGGATGGAGGGTCCTGACCCAGAGGCCCCCCAGGCAGGGGGAGGTGGTGGCCCGAGGTGGCTGTGGAGAGCCGGCGGCCACTGGGCTTGGGATGCCACTCTCCGGCGGCCGGCTGAGCACAGTTGGAGCTTGGGCTGTGGAAGCCAGGACACGAGTTGGGGTTTGCTGCCTGCCCTGCAGGACCTCCGGACCAGAACCACCATCACTCGCCCAGCCTAGCTGGGTGGGGGCGCTTTCCAACATTTTAGGGACACAGGGGAAGAAGAGGGAATGGCTAGGCTGAGAGCCAGGCACAGAAAGGGGGTGAGGGGAAACCTGGGAACAGCTGGAGGAATGTCAGAGTCGGAGGCTGTGGGGAGTGGATGCAACCGCGGTAGAGGTACAGGGAAGAGGAGGAGCGTGCCTGCCCCGACAAAGCCTGAGTTTCAGAGACCGGGAGAGGAGTCAGGACGCCCGCTGGAGAAACGGAGGTTTGGAGCCCAGAACTGGGGCCGCACGACCCCCCAGGGCCTTGGCAGGCCACACTCTTGACGCAGAAGTTTGGCAGATCAGACACACGGAGGACACAAACTAGCTCTGGCGCTTAGGAGCGCAAGCGGATGACCCGGCGTCTGGCGCGCTCTCAGGGGTCAGGGGAGGAAGGCTTTGCTGATCGGGGATCGAGGACGCGAGGCCTCAGAGAAAGCCCCGCACCTCCCGTTTGTCCCCTCGCCGCTGTCTAGAGGTGGACCGCACAGAACCTGGGCGCCGGGCTTCCGCCGCCTGGACAGTGGACAGTGCGCTCACCGCCAGCAAATGCAACGCGGCCGCTTGCTGGGCCAGCGCGTCTTTCCAGCGTCGGGCTTGGGGCTGGGGCGGAGTAGGGGCCCGCGCAGGCTCTACCTGGAGTCGGAAAAAACGTCTCGCTAGGAGCTCGCATAGCTGATGGGGCTGGAGATCGGCTCTCCATTTTAACAGTTGCTGATTCGAACCTTTCCGACCAAGTTTTAGTTAAAAACAGATTCCTTTTCTGAAGAATAGGGAGCCCCAAACCACACCCCAGCCCGATCTCAGAGCGGGTTTTCAGGTTAATTGTAGGCAAAGGTCTTACCTTCTAAGACTTAAAAAGAAGAAGAAAGAGAAAAAGGAAGAAAGACAGACAGAGACAGAAAGGAAGAAAGAAAGAAGGACGAAGGAAAGAAAAAGAGAAGTCTGTCCGCGTCCGCACTGGGTGGTTTTCTTGCTCGCTACCGGCTGTCTGTCCTATCGGGCTGGTCCCGCTCCTGCCGCGGCCGGGATACATTCGCTCAGTGAGCGCTTCCCGGCTTTTCGCTGCCCGCACCCAAGCGCGAGAGCAGGAAGCGACCTGAAAGGCGGCTCCGGCTTCCGTGTCCAGCGAATTCGCGATCTACCGGGTTTCAGCTCTCCCTTTAGGGGCTTCCGGAAAACCCCTAATTTCGGGCCATCCCAGACCTGGGCAGGGTCGGTGCGCAGTGCCCAGTCTGGGTGCCTAGTGCCTAGCTCTCTGGACTCCTGGTCTGCGCGCTGGGGAGCTTCCTGGCTCGGGAGACCTAGACCCCCACCTCCCCTTGGCTGTTTCTGCTTTAGGCCACCGGCCCTCCCCACCCTGGGACCGCTCGGGACTGGAAAGAGCAAACGGGCAACCCCCAGGGCTGGGGCTCTGGGGGTTTCTCTCTGGGTGGTGATCAGCGCAGGGCTCTTGCATGAGTCCGAGAGTGGGCCTGGGGGTAGGGGCGGGGGGGCGCTCTACATTGTTCGAGGGGAACCTGACCTGGGCTCTGGTGTACACACAGCCTGCATTCAGGGTTCGCTGGGGTTGGGCCCGGCTGCTAGACCCCGCTGGGTTTGAAGCGCCTGGCAAGCCTAAGGCTGCGGGTTCCTTCGGAGGTTCAGCGCGCCTTTGCGCACAGTGGCCACTTGGGGTCGCACTTTATGTCTGTTTGAGCCTTTCCGCGGCCGGCTGACGCCCGATCTGCTTAATCGTTACAAAACGTTCAAACAAAAACAGGGCCCGTTCTCCAGCAGCCGAGGGCTACCCCGAGTGTCCTTTCAGGGCTGGCCCCGGCCCCAAGCCTCCGAGTACTCAGAGTCATGGGCATCTGGTAGGAGTCAAGGTTCAGAGTCGCTTCCTTCAATGCGTTCATTTGCGGGGAGTGGGGAGCTCGAGGCGCTGCGGGACGGCTGGAGTCGCGTTCCAGCATTCACACACCGCATCTGTCTGGAGAGGACTTCGCTTGGCCAGAGATAGGTCTCTTGAGGTCAAGAGTTGGAGCTGAACACAACTCTTGGGAGCTGAACCCCGCCCTCCCAACACAAATCCTCGCAGAGCGCTCAAACCCAAGCGCAGGCAGCACCGCTGCGGCCCCGTGGCAGCGCGGACACAAGGAGCGTCCCCTTTGGGGCGGGGGCCGCTTGGGAACAAAGGGCCCGGGAAGAGCCCTCCTGGTGCTCCTGCTGAGCCTTCTTGGGGGTGACAGGGGCTTAGGGGAGCGCAAAGAGTAAAGGCAAAGAAAGCGCGCGCGCAGGGGTGGGGAGCGGTCTGGGGGCGGGGCGCACAGGAGGCGAGCGCGCGAGGACCGGGACCTGGAGGCCGAGGGGGCCGGGCCGGGTCGGCCATCCCACTGGGCTCCAGCCTTTGGCC